TTTTTTTTTTTTTTTTTTTTTTTTTTTTTGCTGTACGTGAGCCTCTCACTGCTGTGGCCTCTCCCGTCGTGGAGCCCAGGCTCCAGACACGCAGGCTCAGCAGCCATGGCCCACAGGCGCAGCTGCTCTGCAGCATGCGGGACCCTCCCAGACCGGGGTACGAACCCGTGTCCCCTGCATCGGCAGGCGGACTCCCAACCACTGCACCACGAGGGAAGCCCAATTTTTAGTTTTTTAAGGAACCTCCATACTGTTCCCCATAGTGGCTGTATCAATTTACATGTGGAGACAATATTTTTATCCATTGTTTACTGACTCCACAGTGTGCTCTTTACCACAAGGGCATCCTTCACTAAGGAAATATACAATGATCCTTAGTGACCCATTAATAAAAGCTTGCATTTAATATTTACATAGATTAAATTTTCCCCATTTCTAACTATAAAAACTACAGCAGCAGATAATAAAAAGAAGTATAACATTTTTAATATGTTGAGAAACTTTGGCATTTTGCCATTCTGAAATCACAAGATTTGAGGCATTTATGAAAACTATAATACTATTGTTTTGCAAATCAAAATTTTATCTCTTTATTTCTTTTTACAGTTATTACAACATGACATAAAATTCACAAATACTTATAAGACAATTTTTTCTTAACAATAAATGGACTATTTATTCAAGCCTATAATATATTATCAAGTTTCTAGACTAGTAACACTGGGTCGGCCAAAAAGTTCATTCGGGTTTTTCTGTAGCATCGTATATGGAAAAACCCGAATGAACTTTTTGGCCAACCCAATATACTCATATCGAATATAGTGGGAAAAACTTCATTTCTCAATTTGCAGGTTATCTAAGAGAACCTAGGTTTTAGTGAATAAATTGTCCAATATTTAAAGAATAGCTTGCTTATTCTTTCTTTTTCTGGTAAAGATTTATCCTATGTTTATTCTAACTACTCTTACAAACTCCCCTTATGTAAAATTATTTTACAAACTAATCACTAGAAAATAATTAATTTGATAATTTGATTCAGACTAAATGTATAATATTATCTGTTTAATCTATGGTTATGCTAACCTAAATGAATTGCCATGCTTCATATTATATATTGAACATAATAATTATAAATTAATTCCATAGTTACTAATATGTGACTCCTAGGCACCGTATGTATTTTATCTTTTTTTTTTTTTTTTTTTTTTTTTTGCATTTTCCAAGTTCAAGACTTTAGTCTTTAAATGGAACCAAAGAAGAATTACATATGTGTAAACATTTTATTTGGGAAAAGGGCAATGCCTTTGTTTTTAGTTTGATAATTTGTAACTCATAGATGATTTCTTAAAAGAGCACTTTACAATTTATCTCCCAAGAGATCTCTCACCCTGAATAGAATTTCTAAGATGAGTCTTTGTGGAAATAATATATTTCTGTTTTTTAATAAAAAAATTTATATATCATGGCATTTGAAACATCGTGGTGAATTTTTTTTTTTTTTTTTTTTTTTTTTGGTACACGGGCCTCTCACTGTTGTGGCCTCTCCTGTTGTGGAGCACATGGCTCATGAGCCCAGCCGCTCCGCGGCATGTGGGATCTTCCCGGACCGGGACACGAACCCGTGTCCCCTGCATTGGCAGGCGGACTCTCAACCACTGCGCCACCAGAGAAGCCCCATTGTGGTGAATTTTAAAAATAAAATTCAAATATATTATTTAATTGAAACATGAATTTAATTTTTCTTTATTAGGCTCCGATAATGCAATTCCACCAGAACCTGTTGTAGGTAAGTTGATATTAAAATGACAAAATTATGCTTTTTCACAATGTGCCTTGAAATAATATTTCTAATTTTTCTACTTGAACACTGAAAAATATCTAAGGGACTGTTATATTCTTCTCAAATTTTAACCTAATACAAATTAATCTGTATGAATTGAGTTAAATAAAAATGTACATTTATAAATATATTTGTATTTTTAAATTTAGTGCCATTTAAGCAGCCTGAAGTAACAGATGAAAAAATGTCACATTATAAATGTGGATTTGAAAAAAAATGGTGTTACAGTAACTAGAATCAAAAATATGATAAGAGAAGTCTTAATTTATCAGATTAATAAAACATAAACTTCAAATTAGATTTTGGTAGCATAGGGCTCTTGCTTTTTCTATTTTTATACCTTCTTAAATCATACCAAAGACATTGAATCTTATATATAATTGTTAAATTCTGCACTGGTTGTGTACAAACTTACAGAATCAATCAAATAAACAAAAATGACTCTAGAAATACACTCTTTATTAAATAAAAAGGCAGTTCCATATTTCTCAGCATATTATTTGTCACCTATCATTTCCATTAAATTTTTTAGCTTTTATTGCATCCTGGTGTCTCTTTTAAATTTAACAGTTTTAAAAGATATGCAAAAGAAATTTATTTTTTAGAATGTTCCACTTTTTCTTAATTGTTCCCCCTCTGCATTCTTTTAGCATTTCCATTTGAGTATAACCTCCATGAGGACAGACATTTTTTTCTTATTTTGTTCACTGGTATAAAATCCCTTTCTGGTCCTTATCTGATAAGGTGTTTGATTTTGATACTTGCCCACCTGATCCACTAGATTCTACCTTTGTGGAATGGGGACCATTCAATATGCATCACTCTGTTGTCACTCATTACCTACTACCAGAAACCTGAGAGATCCTTTAAGACAGGCATTTCCAACACAGGTAAGGCTGAAATAATAATAAGAACACCGCTATAGGCACTCAGGACATGAAGCTTTTTGTAGGGCTGCTGTGAAAAAATAATACTAAATGCCTCTTCCCCATATCCCAAATGCCCAGAATTTACTGTTCTCCTATTTTCTACCTCAGAGGCTACAACATCCAGAGAAGATACTGGTACTGCTGGAATTGGATTCCAGACAGGTGAGAAGGAGCAGCTCCTGTCTTGTTATTACCACTAATTATGACACAGGATATCCTAGAGAGAATTTCTGGAGAACAGTTCATATTTACTCTACCAATACTGCATTTTAGGCAAATTAATTATTTTTCAGTTTTGAATTTTTTTTCTGAAAAGTTGCTAAATAACAGTCTAGAGTCGTAGCTGTAATCCTGAAGTTGGGATTGTAGTAATTGTTATGAAACACTTCTCCTGTGGATTTACATATATCATGAGCTTTGACAAGGGAAGAGTGAGAAAACTTTGTATTCCTGAGAAACTGAGAAGAGTTACAGGAACCTAGGAAACATGTCTGTCCCACGTAGATGTATGCTTTTCACAAGGAAGTGATGAAGAGCACAGTATTTTCCCAGTGTCTCAAGTTCTCAGCACACTCATGGCTTCTGTTTGAAACCAATGTAGCATCAGAAAGCCAAGTCATAGGGAGTAAGACAGGAGAGGGTGGGAGAAACCCACCCTGTTTCCTCGATGTAGAATGCCAGGAAGTGTATTTCTGGTTGAGAACATTGTCACTATTATTGCTTTGGTAATAAAATGGTTAATGAAAAACTACACAGAGCTCATCAACAGAGAAGAGTCAGTGAGCAGTCCAGTTGGATACTATGAAGATATACCTAGGTTCTTTCTAGAAGCATGCTTTTAGGGAAGAAACATGAGCACCATGGTGACTACATTTCATTTTGTGTTTCAGGCACCACTGAGTTAGCCCCTGGCACAACTGTTGCCCCTGGCAATTTCAACACAGGTGAGTCAACAAGGTGACATATAATCTTCCACAGTCCTCCCACAAATTAGATGTCTCCTCTGTTACTATCTTTTGCAGACCTCCTGCCATATCCTTTCCATGATCCTTAAATATTCTCCAGTTAACTCTTTCCTCCTTCTCTCCCACAGAAGGAGAAAGTGAAACAACCAGAGTTGGAATAGCCAAAGGTGAGCCCTGCTAAGCTAATACCTGAACTTTATGATACCTTCACAAAAACAATCTTATGAAAATATATCTGCACTGTTTATATATGTTATATTGAGCAAATTCAGAAAAACAAGACAAGACAGTTTCCTTATTTCCTGAGCTTATAAGTGCCTTCACTAGACTATTGTGAAGTCAAACTAGGATAGATAAACTGGTAATGTAGAGAGAAATTTCCTATCTCCCCTCCAAAAAAGGGGACCTGATAGTTGAGCACTTTCTCAGTAAAATTGTAGAAAGACATGTTACAAGGGGCATATATGGATCACTTACTTGTACTAAAAGTCTCAGGGTTATAGTTTGCTATTGCACGGAGACTTTAGATTCCTACTTAAATCACGTGGTGAACAGCAATTGAGCTAGTGACCACTGACCCTTTCTTGTTTTAGGTACTACAGGTAGAGTCTCTGGAAAAACTCTGGAACCTGGAAGTTACAACACAGGTATCTGGACAGTGGCACCTTGGGTGATATATTCTGACAAAAGCACAGTGTGTACTTTCCCACACCCTAGTCTTTACTCCTTTCTTTCTTTTCTCTGTCAGAGGTCACCACTTCCACGAGAAGAAGTGGGACCACCCAACCAGAACTTCCAGGAGGTGAGCTCTTTTAATCTGAGGCTTTGGGACTTTCATCAAATCTCTGTTTGTGTGAATGCAGTGAACACATTAGTGTGAAAGTGGGCAAAGGAAAGGGGCCTGAATTTCCTCTGGGAACACAATATGCCAGAGTCACAAACCTGGGTCTGCCTAAGAATTCCATGACCTCAGATATCTCCATCTGGATTTCCAGAGGCATGGGCTTGCAGAGCTAGTTGTTGAATGGCATGAATGAGGGTGACTGCTAGCCAGCCCCTGCCTACCAAGTCCCCTATCCTTTTATATGGTTTGCCATGTTCTCATAACACTTACTAACATCTAACACATCGACCTATTTATTATGTTTATTGTTCACTGTTGGTCTTCAGTTGCTAGAATGTAACTTGCATTAGGGGAGGGATCTTTGAATATTCTGCTTGCTGATATATGCAAGGGCCTAAAACAATACTGCACAGAAGAGGATTAATACATACTAGTGGAATGATGAAATGTATACTTATTTTGAGGCTTCACTCTATTTGCTTTAATAGGTATCACCATGGTTTTACCTGGAGCCAGCAGCAGTTCACAGAGTTCCATGTCAGGTAAGATGGACTAAATAAGTTAACCTTATCAGAGTATTAGAGTCAAGGAGATCTATTTTAAATATCTGAATATCAAATTAGCTCAAGTAATTGATGAGTAAAACTTAGAAAGACGAACCCTTCATCTGCCTTTTCCCTCCTTCAGGCAACTCTGTCACCACTCTAGGGAGCCCAGGGTCTGGAAGTGAAACAGGTGAGGGTGACATAAGGTCTCCTTTCACTTTCAGTGACTCTATGGAAAGGGAACTCTAATAACAATAATGATCAATAGGTGGGTCAGGAAAGGAAACTGTGGGAGTAATTGATGGTTCATTTCCTACAGAATCAAAGATCTGCAGGACAGGTCTCCAGTGATTCAAGGCTGCATAGCTACTTCAGTATTCACTGGGAAGTTAATGCTGTGTTGATCCCTTTATTTTTCTCACTTTAGGTACTTCAGGAGAATTCTCTAAGACAACCATATCTGGAAGTTCCCACACAGGTAGGTTAACAAGAAGGAAATCTTGCTAATTAACCTCATAATATAGTTAGTAGACCTGTTCTGATAAAATATCAGCATCATTCTTTTCTTAATATTCCAAATCCTCAGAACTCATCATTCATCACTTTATTTCCTCAGAGGCCACAAGATTAATAGGAGGCAGTGGCACACCTGTAACTGGACTCAGACCTGGTACAAATGGGTTGCTCATAGTTTGGGGTTTAGCATGAATTATGATTCTCCATAGGTTTGCCTGTTGGGAGTTGTGATCTCCTGCAGAGTAGTTTTCATTGGCTTTTAGGATTTTCTTAGATTTAACATGTTATGGAAGAACTTTCAATACTAGCATCTAGCCTCACAGATGTAACTTTCTAAAGATGGGCTGGTGTGTAATCCGTGTGAGGGGTTTCTCCTTGGGATGGCATACACATCAGGGGGACCAAGGAATATTACACACCTAGGAAGAAGAGAAAGCAATGTGAACAGGCCTATCTATATAAAGGTTTTCTTGCTCAAATAATCAATAATGATATTCAGTATTTTCCTTGACGCATTCAAATATTCTTCTGGTTTTTGGCCCACAGTAGATAGCACTGCAGTACCAGGAGGTCAAGCAACTGGGAGTGTGACAGGTGAACCTGGGAAAAAACCACCTTGTTTTCCTGTCTTGGAATAAATGGGTTGTCTGAGAAAGTTGCCTCAACTTGGGAACATTTTGATTGCTTTTTTAATGGCATTTGTCATAGAAAAGGTTTATGACTCTCACCTCATCAGGAAGCAGTGAAAGGACCCTTTGTTATAGCACATTTCTTCTAGAGGCAGGTCTTTAGGAGACAAACACAAGTCACTGTGATGACTTTAGACCCTTTGTGTTTCAGGCACCACTGAGGTAATTCCTGGCACAACTGTTGCCCTTGGCAGTTCCAACACAGGTGAGTCGACAAAATGGCAGGAAATCTTCCATGGATCCAGCTATGATGAGTTTACTCCAGTGCTATCCTGTGTAGGAGAACTACCACATATTTTCCATGGTCCTTGCATGGTTTCTAATCATCTCTCTTTCATTTTCCCCTCTCTCAGAGGCCACAACTTCTGTAGAAGAAAGTAGAACATCAAGAGTTGGAATAATCATGGGTGAGCACTGCTGAGTCACTACTTGTACTTTCTAATGTCTTCCTAATAAAAAGTCTTGTCTGAAATATATCAAAACTCTTTGAATTTCCATATTCAGCATATTGGGCAAAATTTTAGCAGATGTTCAATATTTGACATCAATAAATTCAGTTCAGACACTTCAACTTTTCTTGCTTGTGTTCTAACAAGCCTTCATCAGGGCATCACGGGGCCCATTCCTGATAGTTATACAGGTGATTTGCCCTCAAATCTATCTTCCTTTAACTAGACCTTAAAAGGGGGTCTCAGTGTTGGAGGACTTTCTCCATAAATTTGAGAAGGGAATGATATGTTTTGAAGGAAATACCTGGAGGATCTCTTGATTCACTGGTATATGGGAGAAACAGTTTTTTTTAAAAGCCTATGCCCATTTCATGATGTGCAACAAGTTGACCACAGCCCTTTTTTTTTCTTTTTTTTTATTTCAGGCACAATTGAGAGCATCTCTGGCAAAACTCTGGGACCTGGAAGTGCCAACACAGGTCAGGAGTCCTAAACGTGGACCTTCAGGAGATATAGACTGTGGAAGCCCAGAATGTCCTGTCCACACCCCAAATCTTTACTCCTTTCTTCTTTTCTTCTCTCAGAAGCCACAAGTTCCACAAGAGGCAGTGAGACCTCCCAAGGAGGACTACCAGGAGGTGAGTTTTTCAGTCCAAGGCCTAGGTTCTCATTATTTCTTTATTTGGATCACTTCAATGAGCAAATGAATGGTAAGGAGTATGATGGAAGGACTTGCCATATTTGTTGGTTCAAAAACTCAGGAGCTTCCTGGGTGAAATCTGAAACTTGACTCCATCCACAAAGGGCAAGGTGAGACTGAAGAAAGAGGCAAACCACTCCATGTTGCTGGGTAGCAGGTTTAACAAGCAAGGGAACTTACATGCAAAGCTTGTGTTGGGCAGCTATAAGACAAGTAGATCTCTGCATCTGCCTGCCAGAATCTTAAAAGTTTATGTAGAGGCCTTAACTGGGTTCAGTCACGTATACCATCCTGAAGGTTTCAATGACACATTGCTCTCTCCAGGCTGCATCCTTGAAAATGACTCCCACTATGGGAACTGTGGTCAGAACGTAAGTTCCAAGGCCAGGGAATGGGGCGAGGTGTCACTGATTGCCTGGGTCTAGCTTTAGGATCAACTAGTTGTACATCCTCTCCATGACAGTCCTCTTCTTCAACAATACTGTACCATATGAACCCGGGTAATTATTCTTCCTGGGAATTCCAAGACCACAGATGTCTCAATCAAGCTGTCCTCAGTGTTCTGGTTTACAAAGATTTTTTTTTTCCTGTAAAAAGGTATGCATACATATTGCATATATCCCAACCCCTTCCCCCAGTACTTCCAATCCTCCTTACCCAGCTTGCCTTCCTGCCATAGCCTGCTGTCTATCATCTCTCCCATACTTATGCATGATGTTTATTATTTATTTTCTATCTCCCCTCAATGGAAAAGTTCATGAAGGCAACTGATTATCAAAATGTTCCAAGTTATATCAAAGATTCTTTCTTACAAAGATTAAACCATACTTTATTCCCTTACTTAGGCACCTCTGGCACACCAGGTGGATATGTCTCTGGAAGTAAAACAGGTAAGGGTGATTTTTACTGCTGCTTCCTCTTACTACATAGTAAAAGGGAACCCCATGTGCAACACATCCATCCAAAGCTGACTTGAGAAATGAAATGCTGTAAAATTGTTTATTTTCAATTTTTTTCATAGACAGTCTTCAGAAAAGGATACCAGTGCTTTAGGGCCACACTGATGATTCCAAGATGAACTGAGGAGGAAATGCTGTACTGCAACATTTACTTTTTGCATTTTAGGTATCACTGGAGAATTGTCTGGAACAACCATTGCATCTGAAATTTCTAACACCGGTAGGTTAGCAAGAAGGAAATTCCCCATATTTAATCTCAGATGTCATGATCTCACTTTTAGGGCTTCTATAATAAAAAATACTCCAATATCTCTTCCCAGTATTCCAAATTCCCAGACTTCATCATTATCCTATTTCTTCCCTCAGGGGCCACAATTTCCACAGAAGAGACTAGAACTGGAGCTCAAACAGGTGAAAACAAAGAGCCTGTGATTTGAGGCCATCAGTTTTAGGACTCTCTAGGCTTTCCTTGAGAAAGTTTGTGTGTAATTTAGGGACACTGCAAGTGAGTCAAAATAGGTTTGCTATTAGAGATAAAATCTTTTTGAAAATCCATTAAATACAGAATTGAGCTTCACTGCTTCAAGTCTAAAGAAGGGATGGGATTTCTCCATTGGTATTACAAATATCACCAGCATATTAGCCAGAATCCAAAAAGAATTCTCTTTTTTTTGTCAATTCCTTCTAGCTGAAATAATACAGAGTGCAGAGTGATTTCTGCCCTATGGAAATCTTTGTCTGAGCTTCCAAATTCCAGAGTGTTAATATTGTCCCAAATCCCTGAATTCATATACAGCAGAATACTCTCTCTCTCTCTCTCTCTCTCTCTCTAAATCTCTCTCTGTCTCTCACTCAATCTCTTTGTCTTGTCTTCTCTTCAGACTGCTCTACCAGGGAGCCAGGTCTCTGAGAGTCAAACAGGTGAACATGAGAAAATATAAATATCTCCCTGGTATTTACCAATACTCAGAATAAGAGGACTTCTATTGTGAAAATATAGTTTTACTTAATTTTTTTCTGAAAGAAATGTACTTGTGGAAAGATATGTGAGGAATCCTAGAATAGGACCTCAATGACTGAAAAGAAACATAATGATTTTCTTCTTAGCTCTTCTTTGAACGTAAAGGAAATGACATATAATCCCTTTTCCTTTGTGATTTCAGGTACCAGTGGTGTAGTCTCCAGCCCAGCTATTACATCTGGAAGTTCCAGCACTGGTAATGGAATAGATACAAAGGCAATCATCCCTTGTCTAACCTCAGGGAGAAATATGTATCCCCAAACATACTTTCCACTTTCCTTATTTCTTTTTTCCAGAGTCTAAAACTTCCTTAGAAAGCCTCAGAGTCATTGTGATGAAATTAGTGAGAACTAGGATTCCCAGAGGTTAGCATTGCTGTTGAGAACCATCATGAGTTTGCCTCTGGATCAGAGAGATTGTACAGGAAGGGCAGGCCCTCCAGCCAATATGCAGGGCCCAAAATACTGTTGATTCACAACCCCCAGCTGGTTTCTGGACCAGCCTTTTCCCACGCCTGGCACTGTGGTGTGGATTTCTGAAGAGGGCAGTAGGAGTAGTAATTCCCTGGAAGACTAACCCACTGGATATTACAGGCATTACTGCAGGAGTCAACACTGTCCAAGAAGGTTCTGTCTCAGGTAAAAGGATGACTAAAATGAACTTAGAAAACTTTGCCTCCCATTTGACTTGTATCTTGAGCTTTAAATTCTAAATTGCCTAATGGTTGGTTGCCTCCATGAATGATTAAAGGTCATAACATACACAGAATCTTTTTCCTGCTTTCAACCATTAGTAATTCTCTCTGGAACATCAGACAATCAAGTCACTGAAAGTAAAGCAGGTAGATGTGGAAAAACTTCCTCTGTTTTTAGCTGAAAATTTTGTGTTATATTTGCTAAGTAGGCCGACTAGAAAATAGGCTTCTTGAGTAAAAAGTCTTCATTTATTCAGTGATGAATCTCTAGTATTCAACAGAGCTCAGTAAATATTTGTTGAATGAATGAAGTAATTGATATACGAGAAAAACACACGTGATTCAATCCAGGAGTAGAAAGGCCAGTGAAACGGCGTGCTTACAGGTCTGCCATCTGGATAAAACGGTCTCTGTGAACAGTGTTTCTGGAAGCTGCCATGCACAATGTAACACTGAATGATATGGCCCTGGAAATATACATTTATTTTTATACATTGATTTGATACTCAGATTACCTCGATGTGGAAGATTCTGTATGATAATCCCATGTTCTTCTCATTTCAGGTACCAAGGGTATGGCCTCAGGTACCACTGTTGAACCTGGAAGTTCCAATATCGGTAGGCTAACAAGCTGTAAAGAAAGCATCCTTTCTAGAAATAAGGTGGCAAAAATGTCTTTCACACTGATCTTCTCACATAAGAACATCATAGCCTATTTTCCCTTCTTCCTAAATCCTCTTTTATCCATTTCTTCTTTTTTTATTTACAGAAGCCACAACTTCCACTGGAGTCATTAGAACTTCTGTAGTGGAATGGAAAATAGATGAGAATTATTGTGTATGTGTGTGTGAGAATTTTGGTTGATAAATTACAGTTGACCCTGAACAACGTGGGTTTGAACTGCACAGGTCCATTTATATGTGGGTTATTTTCAATAGTAAATATTATTGTTACCACATAGTCTGTGGTTGGTTGAATCCACGGATGTGGAATCATGGATATGGAGTATCTGTGGATACAGAGGGCCAACTGTAAATTATGCATGGATTTTTTGACTATGAAGAGAGTCGGCACTCCTAACCCCCACCTTGTTCAATGGTCAACCGTGCTTTTTGTTTCTTGCAGGACAGTTTCTTGGAACTTTTTAGGAACTCTCATCTCAGATCAACAATGTTTTCTTTTGTTACTTGATTTTGAATCAATTTGGGCAGATTTTTGAAGTCCCTCTCTTTCCGTTGTCCAGCCTCATACATGTAGATCCCTGCAAATGAAAGTAGAAGTGATAAATATCTAGAAAGTTTTTTCTATTTGCCATTTTAGGTATCACCACGAAATTAAATGATGGAAAGACAGTCCCAGAGGGTTCTATTTCAGGTAAACAGAAGGCTACAATGAACACAGAAAATTGACCTCTGTTCATTAGATTCTTCCTTGAGTACAAAAGTGGCTGAAATGTGCAGTGCTTATCCCAATAACTGTCTATGTTACATTCAAAAGTTTTCCTATTTTCATCCTCTTAGGAGCTACCACTGGAGTATCAATAAATGAAGAAACTGGAAACACATTAGGTGACTATGGTGGGAAGGGGGCCAGAAGAACAAGAAAGCAGAGCATGAATAACCCCTATCTTACTACCATTAAATTCCAGAAGAGGGGTCTCCTATGCTGAGGAATTTGCATCTTTGTTTGATTTGGGAATTAAAACTATGCATAAGAGAACACAAATAATTCACAAGCATTTGAAAAAGCCCAAAAGATGATCAGAGTCCCCCATGGGATGAAAAGTCACCACTTCTCTTTTTGTTGCAGGTACCACAAGGGTAGCTTCTGGCACTACACTTGAACCTAGGAGTTCAAACACAGGTGAGACAACCAACTGGAGAGAATTCTCCACAAGAAAATCTCTACTAGTAAAGTATCTTTCATGGTGCTGTTATCAAGAAAGTTTTTTCTTAGAATGCTTAACTTTCCTGAATGCTTAACTTTTCTCAGAATGCTAAATCCTCTTCATCTTACTTTTTTTTTTTTTTACTTTTCTTCTCTCTTAGAAGCTAGTACACCCTCTGGAGACAGTGGGACCACAGAAACTGGAATATATACATGTCAGCACACAAGCTTCATAACCTCTCCACTTTTCACTTACAATAGCAATAATAGCTAACTCTTTTGAACACTAACTATGTGCCAGGAACTATTCTACAACTTATTATTATTTCTTTTCCCTCACACCAAACTGTGAGGTAAGTACTACTGTTTTCACAGATAAGAAAATCTATGGCTCAGAGATATTAACTAAAGTGTGCAAGGTCACACAGCAAATAAACAGCAGATTTCAACTCAGGCCATCTGGCTTCAAGGTCCATCCACTTAGCTATGCTCCTCTGTTACTACTACCACACTATTTCACTAGATTTCTTTGTCACATGTCTAAACTTTTCTTGCACATTAAAATTTCAGTAACATCAATACTTTACCCAGATGAAAATTCAATGGGCAATCAACCTTTCACTGTTCATTCTTCTAGGGGGATCTAGTAGTGAAGTCACTGGCATTCAAACAGATAAGTAAAGGAAACTACATTTGTTTCACTGACATTGATCCCAGAGAAAGGAATAGTTATCATTGAGACTCCCACAACCACCCAACATTGCACCTTCCCCCCACCAAATTTTTATTGGGATGAAATATTACATTAGAAAAAAATATTAAAAACTCTGGAAAAAGCTATCCCTGAAAACAACATTTTAACGTAATAAAGAATTCTGTAGTTTCCCCATTCTATTCTAGAATACGCTCTTCTTATTGTAGGAATAAAATTGACATAATGATACCATTCAATTTTTTTAAAAAACATCTTTATTGGAGTATAATTGCTTTACAATGTTGTGTTAGTTTCTGCTGTACAACAAAGTGAATCAGCTATATGTATACATATATCCCTATATCCCCTCCCTCTTGTGTCTCCCTCCCAACCTCCCTATCCCACCCCTCTAGGTGGTCACAAAGCACTGAGCTGATCTCCCTGTGCTATGCAGCTGCTTCCCACTAGCTATCTATTTTACATTTGGTAATGTATATATGTCCATGCCACTCTCTCACTTCACCCCAGATTACCCTTCCCCCTCCCCATGTCCTCAAGTCCGTTCTCTACATCTGCATCTTTATTCCTGTCCTGCCCCAAGGTTCTTCAGAACCTTTATATATTCCATATATATGTGTTAGCATATGGCAAATGTTTTCTTCTTTCTGACTTACTTCACTCTGTATGAAAGACTCTAGGTCCATCCACTTCACTATAAATAACTCAATTTCACTTCTTTTTTATGGCTGAGTAATATTCCATTATATATATGTGCCACATCTTCTTTATCCATCATCTGTCAGTGGACACTTAGGTTGCTTCCATGTCCTGGCTCTTGTAAATAGAGCTGCAATGAACATTGTGGTACATGACTCTTTTTGAATTATGGTTTTCTCAGGGTATATGCCCAGTAGTGGGATTGCTGGGTTGTATGGTAGTTCTATTTTTAGTTTTTTCAGGAACCTCCATACTGTTCTCCATAGTGGCTGTATAAATTAACATTCCCACCAACAGTGCAAGAGGGTTCCCTTTTCTCCATACCCTCTCCAGCATTTATGGTTTGTAGATTTTTTGATGATGGCCATTTTGACTGGTGTGAGGTGATACCTCATTGCAGTTTTGATTTGCATTTCTCTAATGATTAGTGATTTTGAGCATCATTTCATGTGTTTGTTGGCAATCTGTATATCTTCTTTGGAGAAACGTCTATTTAGTTATTTTGCCCAATTTTGGACTGGGTTGTTTTTTTTTTTTGATATTGAGCTTCATGAGCTGCTTGTATATTTTGGAGATTAATCCTTTGTCAGTTGCTTCATTTGCAAATATTTTCTCCCATTCTGAGGGTTGTATTTTGGTCTTGTTTATGCTTTCCTTTGCTGTGCAAAAACTTTGAAGTTTTATTAGGTCTCATTTGTTTATTTTTGTTTTTATTTCCATTTCTCTAGGAGGTGGGTCAAAAAGGATCTTGCTGTGATTTATGTCACAGAGTGTTCTGCCTATGTTTTCCTCTATGAGTTTGATAGTTTCTGGCCTTACATTTAGGTCTTTAATCCATTTTGAGTTTATTTTTGTGCATGGTGTTAGGCAGTGTTCCAATTTTATTCTTTTACATGTAGTTGTCCAGTTTTCCCAGCACCACTTATTGAAGAGGCTGTTGTTTCTGAATTCTGTATTCTTGACTCCTTTATCTCTGGGCTTTCTGTCCTTATCCATTGATCTATATGTCTATTTTTGTGCCAGTACCATACTGTTTTGATTACTGTAGTATATTCTGAAGTCAGGGAGCCTAATTCCTCCACCTCCATTTTTCTTTCTCAAGATTGCTTTTGTTCTTCACGGTCTTTTGTGTTTTCATACAAACTGTGCAATTTTTTATTCTAGTTCTGTGAAAAATCGCATTGGTAGTTTGATAGGGATTACACTGTATCTGTAGATTGTTTTGGGCAGTATGGTCTTTTTCACAATGTTGATTCTTCCAGTCCAAGAACATGGTATATCTCTCCATCTGTTTGTATCATCTTTAATTTCTTTCACCAGTGTCTTATAGTTCTCTGCATACAGGTCCTTTGTATCCTTAGGTAGGCTTATTCCTAGGTATTTTATTCTTTATGTTGCAATGGTAAATGGCAGTGTTTTCTTAATTTCTCTTTCAGATTTTTCATCATTAATGTATAGGAATGCAAGAGATTTCTGTGCATTAATTTTGTATCCTGCTACTTTACCAAATTCATTGATTAGCTCTAGTAGTTTTCTGGTAGCATGTTTAGGATTCTGTATGTATAGTATCACATCATCTGCAAACAGTGACAGTTTTACTTCCTCTTTGCTGATTTGGATTCCATTTATTTCCTTTTCTTCTCTGATTTGCTGTGGCTAAAACCTCCAAAACTATGTTGAATAGTAGTGGTGAGAGTGGGCAAACTTGTCTTGTTCCTTATCTTAGTGGAAATGGTTTCAGTTGTTTGCCATTGAGGATGATGTTGGCTGTGGGTTTGTCATATATGGCTTTATTATGTTGAGGTAAGTTCCCTCTATGCCTACTTTCTGGAGGGTTTTTATCATATGTGGGTGATGAATTTTGTCAAAATTTTCTCTGCATCTATTTAGATGACCATATGGTTTTTCTCCTTCAATTTGTTAATATGGTGTATCACATTGATTGATTTGCATATATTGGAGAATCCTTGCATTCCTGGGATAAACCCCATTTGATCATGGTGTATGATCATTTTAATGTGCTGTTGGATTCTGCTTGCTAGTATTTTGTTGGGGAATTTTGTGTCTATGTTCATCAGTGATGTTGGCCTGTAGTTTTCTTTTTTTGTGACATCTTTGTCTGGTTTTGGTATCCGGGTGATGGTGGCCTCGTAGAATGAATTTGGGAGTGTTCCTCCATCTGCTATATTTTGGAAGACTTTGAGAAGCATAGGTTTTAGCTCTTCTCTCAATGTTTGATAGAATTCCCCTGTGAAGCCATCTGGTTATAGCCTTTTGTTTGTTGGAAGATTTTAAATCACAGTTTCAATTTTAGTGCTTGTGATTGTTCTGTTTATATTTTCTATTTCTTCCTGGTTCAGTCTTGGAAGGTTTTTCATTTCTAAGAATTTGTCCATTTCTTCCAGGTTGTCCATTTTATTGGCATATAGTTGCTTGTAGTAATCTCTCAAATACCATTCAATTTTGTTTTCAGGTACTACTGGAGTGTATCGTGGTAGTACCATCTCACCTTGGAGTTCCAACACAGGTGAATCAATGGGGAAACAGGCGCTATAATTTCTTTCTTGGGGCAAGTTCTAGAGCAATAGCACATGATGCCTTTTTATGACTTTCTATTAGATTTCACTACTCTCTACCTTTTCATTCTTAGAAGCTACAACTTTCAGAGAAGGAAGCATAACCAAAGAAAAGGATGAAGCTTGAATTTATGAAAATTATATCATTTCTTCTGGGATAAACCTTATACTGTAATTCTTAAGAGAGAAGTCCAGAAAGGATTCCCTTTTTGACATTCAAGCTATTACCTGGGTGTGAGATGGAGGCATTATATGTCCATATAATTATAAGTAGGGAAGCAGAGATGATGGAAGTAACTCTGGAAGTTTAGTTCTATTAAATTTTTGATTTTGGATGTTATGAATTTATTCACTTTATACAATTAAATGCATTTAGACAAATATTGTTTTTATTTATTGTCATTAGGAGCCACCACTGGCACATCTGAGAGGCCAAGTCCTGGAAGTGAAATAGGTAAATATGGGAGAGGCCCAGTGACCTCTGATATTTAACCTTAAGAAGCAAATCATCAAGGCCTGGACATAAGCCAATGTTTTTATTGTTGCCCTGAATTTAAAAATAGAGAATGCACCTACTTTTGACAGGATAGCCCCAAGAAGAGTCTTCTACTTTCAAGTCCCAGAGATCTTGTTGGCCATGCTCTTCTTGGGATGTTAAATACATCACTATTGGGATTCTCTGTTTCTCTCTTCTACTTCAGGTACCACTAGTGTAGTCTCTGACACAACAGTTGCATCTGGAAACTCTAACACAGGTAAAGCAATAACCTAATGGGGAGTATAAAGAACTTCAGTAATGAGATAGCCTCCTCCCTTCAACTCTTGCACCTAAAAACACACATTCCCTACCATACCCAGTGGATACCACCCAACTTTTCTGAGTACATGAGTCTTCAGTATTTAGTATTTCTTTGTTTCACTTAGGGGCCACAACTTCTTTGGGAAGTGGTGAAACCACCCAGGGTAGAATTAAAATAGGTGAGTAATAACAGTCAAAAATTATTTTTCTCTTCATCTTAAAGTATATCACATTGGCTATAATAAAATTAGGGGGAATTCTATTCTACCTGAATCTCTCTTTGGGTACAAATTGTTAGGATGTTAACTGCCCTATATTTTACCCCGTGTGAATTGCCTTTTTTGTACATTTGTAATAAAATGGCATAATAGAAGCCACACTTAAGGCAAGAAAGTTTCTGATATAATTTGTGCTAAACCAAATACTACTTTGAAACCCTAGTAAAAGGGAATCATAAATTGATTCTCTCCTCTTGTGATTTCAGTTACCACGAGGGTGACTACTGGCACAACTATCGCACCTGGGAATATACAGGAGGAAGGAAAAAATTTATAACTGATAGAAGATATAGTGAGGTCAAATGTTGACAGTTTGGGTTTAAGATGCTCTGAGGTGTCCAGTTAGTATGCTCAGCAGGAGTGATAAATGCAACCAGAACACAGAAGAGAAGCTTGCATAGGAGATAGAGATTTGTCAAGTCATTCACTTACAAATGATATTTGAAACTGTGGATGCTGGTGGGTTTCCTTATGATGGGCATATAGAGTGAGAAGAGAAGACAAATAAACAGAAACATGATTCCTTGAGCTACAAAGGTGGGCAAAGGCAAAGGGACCTGAAAAAGGGAGGAGTTGGGGCTCAACAATTGCCAGTATGGTTAAGTCAAATCCATAAGGCAAAGTTTTGGAGTGCTGGAGACTAGGTTGCTTCTAATTTTGGGATTCAGAATGTCAAATCAAACAGGATCAACCAGAATTTGCAGGAGACATATGTGTTTTTAATATTTTGTTTTTTGGAGAGCCTAGCCTTACAATTATAAAACTTTGAAATTAAAAGAGAGAACTGTCTTGAAATAATTAATTAAAATTTCAAGATTCTTGATCCTTTCCATTTTTTAACCTTCAGGAGTCACTAGCATAATTTCAGGGAGCCAATCTACTAGAAGTAAAATGGGTGAAGTTGGGGAAGTTAAAAATGTGAAGATGGGAGAGGCACCCAACTCCATGATACTAGTTCTAGAAAAGAAGGATCCCAGAAGACTGGAGTTTACCACAAGAAATGAAACAGATCAATAAAAAAATGTTTATTTCACCTTTTGGAACAAGGAATCCTAGAGAAGGAATGCATTCTTTTACAGAAACACATGATTTGTCCTAAACCATGATCTCCATCTAATAAGAAAGACATCCCTGCACATTTCCTCTTCTTTATATTCTCTCCCATCCCAGGTACCACTGGGACAGGCTCTAGGACATCCTCACCTGGAAGTTTCAAAACAGGTAAGTCAAATAGTAAAAGGAATTCTCCTTTAAATGGTCATAGGGAGAAGATCATACACTGCTATATAATTTTCATATTTTCAACCTCTCAAGCTTCTCAATTTTTCCTCCTTTGCTCTTACAGAAGCCACAACTTTTAAAGAATATGTTGGAAACACTGAAGCAGGAATTTCATCAGGTGAGTTTTGCCAGATTTTGGATTCTCAATGATTTTTTCATTTGAGTTTACTACATACAGGTTGTGAATGAAAATGCATGACTTAAAAATGGTTTCTTTTAATTTAATAGCATATCATAAGGCCAGCCTAGATTAGCTCCCTGGTTTTTTCTAGAGAACATACTATAGATGTAATTTAATTCTCTAAGCACACTCTTTATTTGAAATTTCACTGCTTTTGTTTTGCCAGGCAATAGCCTGGAATCAGTAGGAGTCACCAATAGCCAAGAAGGTGAATGGAGATCACTATAATAGACACAACTAAATTTGTTAATTAAGGCTTTGGTTGAGATGCCTAATCCTTGATCACAAGTTTAGACAATTTTTTTCTGTTTTTTTTTTATTTTTTTTTTTTTTTTTGATGCTGGAAAACCAGGGAGTTAAGTCACTAGAAGTAAATCATGTAAATAGAGGACAGATATTCTCTCATTTAATATCAGATTCTAGATGATTCTAGATCTAGAGAAATAAGATCTATGGAGCATGACTTTTCCTCCTATATTTTATTTGACCAAGCAGTTATGAGAAAGTGCACAGGAAAATATGCTAGGCTTAACATTTTGTGCAAGAAAAAATTTTAAACAGTTTTCTACTGCTTCAGAGAAACAGGAACACTTGTCAATACCACACTCTTCTTAGGGTGAGAAATGCTTTGTGAGGCTTATCCTTCTCTCTTACTATAGGTACCACTGGGATAGCCTCTGGCACAACAGGTATTCCTGGAAGTTCCAAAACAGGCAAGTAAATATTTAATATGTGGCTCTAAGTAGCTAAGCCTAGAAAAATAAGAGCCTTTCTCTGGAATTTACTGACTGTTGTAACATCAACACAGCAGTCCTGACTTTAGTCTTCTTTGCCTTTCTTAGGAACTAGCACTGGAGCTGGAATGCAAAAAAGTAAGTGTCAGTGGTTCATATCTGTTGAGTTTTCAGTTACTGACTCCTATGCCTTTGCTTCAACCTAGGGGAATGTTGAAGGTAAAGATAAAGGGCCAGGAAATAGGGCAGAATCTCAGTAGAGAATGTCCTCTTCCAGCCATCTAAGGTTGTCTTCTTGCTCTGAGTTTCTGGGCTCCAACCAGAGCCCCGAAGTAAGTGTGTAAAAGTGCACAAGGGCACACTACTAAAGGGAGGAGTAGAGGCTGAAATCCAGCCAGCATTTCTTCAACAAGTTATAAATCCATGGGGTTTCATCTGCCCAGAGGGTTTTTTTTCTGTTTGTTTTTACTTCATAAAGTTGCTCTATGGGCTAGCTGCAGCATTGGCCTAGACTTTCATCTGATTTACTTTCTCTTCCTGCTTTTGATCTTTGAGGCTACCTATAGAAGGTATGTCTGATGTGAAATGTCCTTCATTTGACTTTGCAGGCACTGCTGTGATATCGAGCAAAATTACTGGTGTCTCAGAAAGTTCCAGCCAAGGTAATGGAAATGACTGACAGAGTGAAGTTAACATGTTCAATATTCTTTTTCCCTTTAACACCCAATTGTTTCAGAAAATGGCTATTTATCTCTATGAATATTAAACTTGAACTGTAAAAGAAAAATTGTACCAAATGGAGTTAAATGGGCAAAAAAGACTAAGATTATTAAATAGGAGTCAAGAACATTGCAATAGGTTGAAATTTTGAACTTAACTTTGCTGAAATAAAAGGTGGGAGAGTGTTTAAGTGCTGGGGTTAGCTAGTGGGAAAGTACTAGACAGCGTTAGGGGAGAGGTTGGTTTCTGTGATTTGGTGATCTGTGTTTGCTAATTGGTGCTTATAGAATGAAGTTAGGCTCCTACCTTCCCACAGTGACAGGGAGATAGGGGCACTATGTTTCTTTTCTGTTTTTATTGAAGTATAGTTGATTTACAATATTATATTAGTTTCAGGTATACAGCATAGTGCTTCAATATTTTCATAGATTATACTCCATTTAAAATTATTACAAAATAATGACTATATTCCCTGAAAGTATAATATATACTTGTTGTTTACCTATATTATATACAGTAGTTTGTATCTCTTAATCCCTACCTCTATCTTGCCCTTTCCTTCTTCTCTCTCCCCACTAGTATCCACTAGTTTGTTCTCTATATCTGTGAGTCTGTTTCTATTTTGCTATATACATTTGTTTGTTTTATTTTTTAGGTTCCACATGTAAGTGATAACATACAGTTTCTGTCTTTGTATGACATTTCACTAAGCATAATACTCTCTAGGTCCATTCACATTGTTGCAAATGGCAGAATTTCATTCTTTTTTATGGCAGAGTAATATTCCATTATATACGCATGCACACATATATACTTACTACATCTTCTTTATCCATTCATCTGTTGATGGACACTTGGGTTGCTTCCCTATGTTGGCTATTGTAAATAGTACTGCTTTGTACATTAGGGTGCATGTATCTTTTTGAATTTGTGTTTTTATTTTGTTTGAATATATATCCAGGAGCAGAATTGTGGGGCCATATGGTAGTTCTAATAGATTAAAGACCTAAATGTAAGACCTAAAACCATAAAATTCCTATAAGAGAACATAGGCAGAACACTCTTTGACATAAATCATAGCAATATTTTTTTGGATCTGTCTCCAAAAGCAAAGGAAATAAAAACAAAAATAGGCAAACGATTTTCTCCAGAAGCATTCCCGGTTACAAATTACCTCCCTCCTATCTCCTCAGGCTGTCTCCTTGCAGCCAACAGCAGTCCTCCCCCCAGGTTTGCTCTCCAATCCCCACGTTCAGCTCTCAGCCCCCATGTGCACCGGCAGACACACGTCCCAGATTGGGGCATGCAGGGTTATGGTGCGGACTGTCTGTGTAGGTGTCACTGTGTCCTGTCTGCCACACACCCTCCTTCAACAGCCTCAGATGCTCCCTTTCTGTCCCAACTGATTTCCCTGTCAGTGAGGGGTCTTCCCCAGATGTGGGAGCCTCTCCTGTGCTTCAGCTCCCCACCAGGGGCACAGATCCCATCCTGCTTCCTCTCCTTTTCTTTTTCCCTTCTTTCTTTCATCCTACCCTGTTATGCGGGGATCTTTCTTGTCCTTTCCGGTGTCCAAGGTCTTCTGCTAGTGTTCAGCTGGTGTTCTGTGAGAATTGTTCCATCTGTAGATATACTACTGATGCATTTGTGGAGAGAGATGAACTCTCCATCCTCCTATTCCCCCACCATCTTGGTCAGAATGGCCATCATCAAAAAATCTACAAACAATAAATGCTGGGGATGGTGTGGAGAAAAGGGAACCCTCACGCATTGTTGGTGGGAATGCAAATTGATACAGCCACTATGGAGAACAGTATGGAGGTTGCTTAAAAAGCTAAAAATAGAACTACCATATGACCCAGCAATCCCACTACTGGGCGTATACCCAGAGAAAACCATAATTCAAAAAGACTCATGCACCCCAATGTTCACTGCAGCACTATTTACAATAGCCAGGACATGGAAACAACCTAAGTGTCCATCGACAGATGAATGAATAAAGATGTGGTACATATATACAATGGAATATTACTCAGCCATAAAAAGGAACAAAATTGGGTCATTTGTAGAGACATAGATGGACCATGAAAGAGTCAAAAAGAGAAAAACAAGTGTCATATATTAATGCATATATGTGGAATCTGAAAAAATCGGTATAGATGATCTTATTTACAAAGCAGAAATAGACACACAGGTGTAGAGAACAAAAGTATGGATACCAAGGGGAAAGGGGTGGTGGTGGGATGAACTGGGAGATTGGGGTTGACATATATACACTATTGATACTATGTATAAAATAGATAACTAATGAGAACTTACGGTATAGCACAGGGAACTCTACTCAATGCTCTGTGGTGACCTAAATGAGAAGGAAATCCAGAAAAGAGGGGGATATATATATATATATATATATATATATATATATACACATATAGCTGATTCACTTTGCTGTACAGTATAAACTAAAATAATATTGTGAAGCAACTATACACCAATAAAAAAAGTAAGCAAATGAGACCTAATTAAATTTAAAAGCTTTTGCACAGCAAAGGAAACCATCAACAAACAAAAGACAACCTCCTGAATAAGAGACAATATTTACAAATGATATGACTGACAAGGGGTTAATATCCAAAATATATAAACAACTCCTACAACCCTCCCCAAAAAACTAATATGGGAGAACCAGGAAACCAGGATATAGGAAGCAAAATAGTTAACTGTGAAAATAGTTCTTGTCATTAAGAGAAGGGGGCCCTTAAATGATAAGGCTACCAGGGTCATAGGAAAATACTCAATTCTTCTTTGAGCCAGGAGTTTCTATGTTAGGGCCTGTTTCAATGGCAGGAGCATGAACCAGCATTAGTAGGTGTACTAGTACACTCCAGGTGCTTTGAGACTCTTATTCTTTGTGAAGATGTCTTCAGACACACTCTTCTGAGACCAGAAAAAGTTCACTGCTCTTTCCCTATTCATTTTAGTTACCTCCAAGGAAACATCTGAAACAACCAGTGCTCCTGTAATTTCTACCACAGGTAGGTCAAATAATAATAAATGAACTTTGCTTGGTGGCATCTTAGAAGACAGGGCAGCTTACCTGAAGTTAAACTCTAGCTTTTTTATCCCTCTACTCACCACATTTGTGCCTCTCTTAGCAGTCACTGCTTCCACAGGAGTCAAGGAAACCTCTGGAACTGGAATGCAAACAGATGAATGCTAGCAATACAGACCCTTCAATGATCAGTGTGCCTGTGATTATATATGAGGAGTTGAGTTTGGAGGAGAGGAGTGGTGGGAAAGAAACAGCAAAGAAAGGCCAGGAAGATTATCCTACATTTCCTTTTGGAGTATGACTTTGAAGTTCAACTAGGGATTTGTTTTTTCCTCCAGGATTTTTTTGGGTTAGGCTTTTAGCAGAACACCTCACTGGAAGACTTAGTTATGACCTTGAAATCTCTGAGAATGGGATTATGAAATTGCATTCCTGAAATTTTAAATATTTCCCTCCGCAGGCTCCACCTCAGTGTCAAATGGAATCACAACAAGCCCCAAAGTGTCCTACCCAGGTAAAATGAAATGACCCAAATGCACTGGAATGAATTGTCTCTTCCACATGAAGCTTTCCTTAATCGTGAATGTGTGTGATCATTTGTGCGTGCATGCATACACACAGAAACTTGATATGTGTACATGATATCTAATAAATAAAATGACAGCATTATCCTTTTACAGAAACCACTGTAGTAGCAACAGGAGATCAAGAAAATGAAAATAAAACAGGTCAGTATGGGAAAAGTACTGATTTTTTTGTTATTCAACTAACACTTCTTTAATACCTTACATGTGCTAGACTCTGTAGCAGCCCTTGCCATTTTATTATTTTGTGTGTGTGTGGGGGGGAAGAGATTATTTTTTTTAATATAAATTTATTTATTTATTTGTTTTTATTTTTGGCTGTCTTGGGTCTTCGTTGCTGAGTGCAGGTTTTCTCTAGTTGCGGCAAGCAGGGCCTACTCTGTGTTGTGGTGCATGGGCGTCTCATTGCGGTGGCTTCTCTTGTTGTGGAGCACGGGCTCTAGGTGCGTGGGCTTCAGTAGTTGCAGCATGAAGGCTCAGTAGTTGTGGCACATGGGCTTAGTTGCTCTGCAGCATGTGGGATCTTCCAAGACCAGGGCTCAAACCCCTGTCCCCTTCATTGGCAGGCGGGTTCTTAACCACTGTGCCACCAGGGAAGCCTGGAAGAGATTATTATCTACACAGATACTATCGTTATAGTGTATTTAATGCTTCTCAAACATGTGCACAGCAATTATGGTCCTGGGAGTGCACTGAGACTGTTAATTTCTGTTTATTAGTTGGTAGGGTTGAATGAAGGCATTAGGGAAGAGATCATTGATTTCAATATTGGCTAGGGTGAGGAGGGAATTCCTGTCAAATGGCACTTAAAAAGACAGCGACTTGAGACAGCATGAGTGACTTCAGGAATCAACCAGGTATTGGTAATATTTGTATGAGGTTCAGGGAAGAAATGAGATTAGATAGGTAAGCAAAGGAATGTTTATGAAGGACCTTATTTCCAAACTTAAATGAGACTTTATCCTTACAATAAATGGGGTCTCCTTAAAGATTTTGTTAAGAGAATGATATGATCAGATAGGTCTTAGAAAAATTGCTCTGATAGCAATGTGGAGCATATGAGATTGTATCTTATTCCTCCCGTTACAAATTTTTTCAATGAACTGGGAATTCTGGGTAGGGAAAATTTTCTGCTATATTTATGCCTAAACACAATTTCTCTCTGCTGTTGCTGGTTTCTGGTAATCTGTTAAGCATTTATAATTGAGAATTAGCCTAGTGTCCCCTTAGTAAAGAGAAATATTTTATGCCCCAAACTTGCACATCTTTAATTATTTTCTGTTTTTCTGTACCTATTATTTGTTGGGGTCCTTTTACTCAAACATAAAGAAACTTTAAGTTCTTCTCAAATATTCTGTTATTTCTAGTTCAGCCTTCTGCTTGGTAGAGAGAATAAAAATATTAATCTGAATTTTAGCAGTTTGGAAATAGAATTTGCAATTGGAGTGGATTGTTAGGTTGATGAAACTTTGTGATAAGTGAAGCCTCACAAAAAATAGTAAGCAGTTTAAAGCATTTTGTGGGAGTGGAGACAGAACAAGATTAAAATATTGTAAGACAAAAAGAGGATAAAAATTCTTAGAGGATTAAAACCAGGCAACTAATAATACTTATATCTTTTCTATATCTGAGTTATCCTTTTCCTTGTTTGATTATACATTTTATTGTCCTATTTATCAGAACTGTCTTCTGAGAAATTTTGAAGAGAAGTTTACCTTGATTCTCATTCTGCCTTTTGATTCTCATATTTTCCTCCCATTAAAATTTGAAATCTAAAGGAAACACTTTCTAATGGTGGAATATCAAATGCCATGAGGAGTAGAAAGGGAAGATTGATGGCAATATGTCTGTTTGTAAAACTAGCAATGTGGTCAAGTGCTTTCAGTGATTAGAAAACTATATTTATTCCAAACCTATTCCAGTAACTTTAGAGATTAATATGAGGTGTCTGTTTTTACACAGGATGTCCAGTATCACTTCCACCGCCTCCAGGTAAGCTTACCTCCACTTGAAAATCAATCATCCTACATTAATGGTTTTTCTTGTAAATCAAATTTCAGAGGTCATGCCAATGAAAGTCACTAGCTATGGAAGTGTGATAAAATAGGAAAACTTGAAGTGTATGAATTTAGCTTTTATTCACCAAATAAATAGTGAGTGATAGTTTGTTTTGTCACACACAAACTAATAAAGCCAAACCAAACAAATGCATCTTGTCACTTAGTCAAAATAGAGTTTACTAAATAAAGTGTTTCATGTAACTATATGATACCTTGATCAAAATATTGCTACTCGATAGTATTTTTGAAGCTAAATAATTCCAGCTTTTATTGAGGACTGAATTTTAGCAAGAAAAATTAGGCATAACCAGAGTTCAATACTTTTAGAGGACTTTGAGTTCCTCTAAAATTATCAAGCCAATGTGATGTGCTTTGTACAAAGTGGCAAAAGTTACCAAAAAAATCATTCTCTGATCTTAGGATATAGTGGGAGAAGGGAGATTTTCAAAGAAACATAGGTAATTTTCATATAAGGCTGAAAATAAATTTCACAGTGAAATATGTGACCTATGTATTATATAAAGAGCACATGTTATGTGTCACACATATTACATATATTGTATACTTTGGAAGGATTCTCGTGTATTTCATTAGAGAATTGGAATTTGAGAACAATAAGTAGGCTATTTCAGGGTATGTAAATGAAAGAAGTGAGACAAGGTCGAGATTATAGATTGGAGACATGTTATGGCAACCTCAGAAGGCAGAATGCTAAAATAAAGTATTTAGTTTACAAGACTGTAAGGGGTATCAGAAGTTCTTAATTGAAGCAATGATGAGATGAAAAGTAGGCTTTAGAAAAACTGTTCTACCTATGACACAGACAATTGACTGGATCAGAAAGAAGACTGAGTCAGACTTCCCCAAAAAAGCCAGATTCTGCTAGGTCAAAGATACTAAGATCCTGCTTAAGGATACGGGGTGGGGGAAGGATAAGCTGGGACAAAGTGAGAGAGTGGCATGGACATATATACACTACCAAACATAAAATAGAGAGCTAGTGGGAAGAAGTCGCATAGCACAGGGAGATCAGCTCAGTGCTTTGTGACCACCTAGAGTGGTGGGATAGGGAGGGTGGAGGGGAGGGAGATGCAAGAGGGAAGAGATATGGGGATATATGTATATGTATAACTGATTCACTTTGTTATAAAGCAGAAACTAACACACCATTGTAAAGCAATTATACTCCAGTAAAGATGTTAAAAAAAAAAAGATACTAAGGTCCTGGAGTAGTATTGTAACAAGTAAAATCAGGAAAGGAAGGGATTCAAGTGAGGATAAAGATACAAGATTTTGCAATTTGTTCAATGCCAAATGATGGAAAGGAAATAATCAAGATGACTTCTAAGTTTTAAGCTTAAGTATTTGAAAGCATAGTTCAGCCCGTAACAGGAGGTGGCCAGCTTAGATGAAAAACTGGTTTTAGGGGAAAAATGATTCAATCTATTTTGTGCACATTTTGTGCACGTGTCTGAGTTTCTTTTAAATCTGCCGAGGTGCTGTTTATTAGGCCAAGGGAGATCTGGGTCCGTAGCTCACAAGAGATGTTTATACAGGAGCTAGAAGTTTGAGAGTCATCCACTTGATGTTACAGTAGATACTGTAAAGATGGAGGAAGGTACCAGTGGGAAGAATAGAGACAAAATGAGAGGGAGGAGGAAGTGCTGCTAACAGGAATTTCAGAGTGTTCAATCTGAAGGAAGAATGTTTCCAAGAAGGTGAGAGGTAAAAAAATGTCAGCTATTGTAGGGAACTTGAAAAGCTGAGAAAGAGTGCTTGGGACTGGTAATTATGAGGTCTTGGTGACTTTTAGGATTGTGGAGACAGAAGTCAGAAAGTGAAACAATAAGTAAAACAGTATCCATAAGATTTATTGACCACTGACAGGAGAGGTCAAGAATTATCCTTTCTGAGGATTGTAAAAATAAGAATTATATATATGCTTGCTAAAGACAGTTTGCTCAGAGTACGGGGAGGTGATTTATCCACCTTAAAGCACCTTACAATCCTTCATAATTCTGTATCTCTGAAATACTAGTGCCAATTCAGTATTGGTCAACCTGGTGGTTATTACAGATAATTGACTGTTATAGTTTGCTGAATTTAATTAGCATTTGTCATTTCATGTTAACAGTTTGTCATGGTCCACTGGGAGAAAAGAAGTCTGTAAGTACACAGTTTGTCTCTACTTTAATCCAAATTTGCTGTCATTCCTGTATTCAAATAGAAGTCTAAACTTCGTTTGTTTTTGTAGCCTGGAGACATATGGACTGCCAATTGCCACAGATGCACCTGTACAAATGCAAAGACCGTAGACTGTAAACCCAAGGAGTGTCCTTCTCCACCCACATGCAAAACTGAAGAGAGGCTTGTAAAGTTCAAAGCTAATGATACCTGTTGTGAAATCGGGTACTGTGGTATGTATTCATAATACATTACTTGAATTGAATAGTTGTTTACTTATTCACGCATTCAAGAGATATTTATTGAGCTACTAATATGAGTCAAATGCTTGATGGGTGTGATAAATAAAGCAGAATCAATACTTGTCCTCTTAAAGCTTACTATCTTTGGAACAGGGGAAACCCAGTTAAGAATGTAATCAGTAGGTTAAAAGGAGATGATGGTGTTATGGGAAGAAACATTATAATGTTTCCTTATTGGTTGGTAAATATGATCTCATATACAATTTCTGTTTTGTAAATAAAAATTATAATATTTATCTTAGGGTAAAATATGTACTTATTTTTCAGAACCAAGAACATGTTTATTTAAGAATATCGACTATGCGGTAAGGTCATTTCTACTTTAAAATACTTTTATTAATATAATTATGAATAAATGCAGGCTCTTTCGGCTAATATGAAAAAGTCATAGATAATGGTGGAGTGGAATTTATTTCTTTCCCATATTCCTTTCAAAAGAAAGGTCAAATGCAATATCCACCATAACTTGCTTCAAAAGGGGGCAATATACTTGATCACTAATCTAGCAATGGAGCTTCTGAACAAAATTTCCCATGGGTCTCACCAAATGGAGAAGACATACAATGTTCAAATCAGTGAAGAGAGTTAAACTGTAATTATAATCAGAAAGATCAGATGGCGGAACAGTCAGAGATCAAATACAAAAACCCAAAAGACTAGAGCTCTACTATAGGGATATAGCAACACAGTATATTCAGGGCTGGATTTGACAATTGATTTGACATATTGAAAAGTAATTTAACTTTGTAGGAAAAGTATCACAAAGCCATAAAAACCAGATGATTCTCAAACTGATATTAATAAATTTGAACTGGTGATACTAAATATTACAACAATCTAAATATAAAATAAAATATGTGGTATGTTAGGAAATACATAAAACAGAGCCTATAATTTAATAATAATTTAATTTGATATAACTCATTTATTACACTCACATTTCTACCTGGGTTTCTTAAATTTTAGTTTCCAAAAGTTATCTGACTTGAGAATCTATGACAGTTTTGAAATATAAAATGAGACTATGTTTAAAGAACAAAGAAAAGTTTTACCTCTAATCATTTTTATGCAAAAGAGTTGAAATAATAAAATTTCAGTTTACCAGAAAGTTTACTTGTGGTTGGAGGGCCTGATATAAATGGAATTTCCCCAAACTGATGTTTGAATTTTAAACATAAAGTAATTATAAAGCAATCTAGAGAAATTTAAAAACACAGGAACACAAGGAAAGATAGAAAATATCTTTTGGGACTTTTCTTTAAAATCCTTGAAAAATATAATAGAGCTACTATAGATGAATCTTAATTTGAGGATTGAGAATCTTGACACATTCTGTGCTCTCAGTGAAGACCTTTGATTTATTCATGGAAGTAGAAGACTTTAATCACCTTTTCTTAAATATTAATTTAATGGCTGAAATTGCCTCTGGAAATTCACTAAACATTATAAATTTGAAAAAAGAATTACAGGTTTTATTGTCAACCTGAAAAATAAATCAAGATGAATACTCATTTGTTCTGTCCCCCTCCCTACCTCCCAGGTTGGTGCTTCATTTGGTGACCCCAGCAACCCATGTGTCTCCTACTTCTGCCACAGCACAGGTTTCGTTGCGGTGGTACAAGACTGCCCAAAGCAGACTTGGTGTGCAGAAGTAAGTCATCTTCTTAAGCAGTGAACAACAAGGTTCACTTCTCATGTTAAATATAAACGCAACCTGTCTTCTTCCTTATTTGGAAAAGTTTGTGCCTGGACAATAGTTATACATCTCCTGTAGATTCCATTCCAGTTATGTCATACACATTTTATTGCCAAGTATACTTTTCATATCAAATATATATTTTCAGGTTCTATAAAACTTAATCTAGTGCTAGTCTAGAAGTAAGTTACTGTAGAAAGCATGTTGCTGCTTTTGAAACAAACAAAAAACTGTTTTTTTCAAGGTTCATGGATTCAGCTTAATCATTTTCTGTAAAAGAACATATTTTTTTAATATAATCACATAAATGCGTACTGTTCAGATCTCTCTTTGTGCCACAATTTTTATCCCCCGAAAATATGGTGAGGGTTTTGTATTAATGAATGCTTAAGTTTAAATTACTAAGGAAGGTTTAAATTTAACTATTTTTTCTTTCTGAAACTATAATTGATAATATAGTTTAAAGTTTTATTTTAGAACTCCAGTGTTGGCTTTCAACATTTACTGAGTTTTTACTTTGAGACATTGATAAGTTTGAGGGTATAATAATTTATAAGACGAAAATCCTGCCCGTGAGAAACTTAGTGTCAAGTAGCAATGTTATTGTGAAAGTATTTTTTTTCAATTCAAATAGGGAGGAGTAACTTTTTATTTTTTGGTATTTTATTTTAAAGAAGAACTTAAACATTGTTTTTCCCTTTCTGACTACTGTTGAAAAAATTTGGTGTCAGTAGTCTCATTTTTATTGCTATACTCTCCCGTCTGTGCTGACTGGATCTGAGATCAGCGTGTCTATCTGTTCCATTTCCCCCTTTGTGATGCTATTTCAATATGTTAACAATGTTATATTATTTATAGGAAAATACAGAGGTTTTTCAGCCTGTTTCTTTTTCTCATACCCCTATAGGAAGCCAGAGTCTATGATTCAAATAACTGCTGCTATACATGTAAGTAAAATCAAGTTCCACATACGGAGGAAATGTAAACTGTTGACAAAAATTTAGTGTTTCTTTAAAACAAAATGGCAGATCATTAATAGAAAGTCTCCTGTGTTTTTAACACAACAGGTAATCTAACCATATGCATACAATTAATTACACAAACAATTAATACAAAGTATTATATTTTCTCACGCATGTTGGTTGCAGCATTCTTCCCGGTAAAAACCAGTGATGTTTACAAGGGAGAAAATTTAATTTTCATGGAAAAAAATTAGTTTGCTCTCCTAACATCAGTAGATTATGTTGTAAATTGTTGTATTAGATCATAAGGATGATCAGCAATGAGAAAATGGATATCAGAAACAACCATCTCTCTGTCTTTTCTTCCTTCCCTCTTTCTTCCTTCCTCCTTCTACCTTCTTCCCTTCCTCCTCCTTCTTTTATTCTTTCTTCTCCTATGATAGTAATAATAGAATAATAATAACATTTATTGAGTATTAACGAGGTACCTTGTTCTGGATGCTGAGACAGTTAATCCCTTTCAATAACATTGTGAAGTATTTGTTGTTATTATTCTCTACTTTATGGTTAAGAAAACTGAGACTTAGCAATTGTTAATGTTGAACCTCATTTTTGACTCTGTTATCCTAGGTAAAACTAATTGCAGATCTTCACCTGTGAATGTGACTGTTAACTACAATGGTTGCAAGAAAAAAGTTGAGATGGCAAGATGCACAGGGGAATGCAAAAAGACTCTCAGGTAAGTTTCTCCTTGAATGTATACTGTGCATTAATTTTGGAACACTGTGGAGAAAATTAAGCGTTTAAAACATTACATGGACAAATGTTTACATGAGAGCTAATGATCAGGACCTGATTAAAATGAAAATATTAATATCTGCAAATCAAAATAAACATTTTAAATAGTAATTAATTCATTTTGAAGTAGTTTTCTAAATAAGTCAAACATAATACATTTATGACAAATGTATTTATTTTCATATAGTGATTACAGAGATTACTTAAGCAAATACTCTTGCTAAAAAGTGAGTTTTTAAAAAGTTGCTTACATTTTAGACATAACATATATTACATATTTTTCCTTTTGTACACTTTTGCATGTAGATTAATATATGGAGAATAATAATTTGATATTAATTGTATATTTAAAAACTGTTTTGTTTATATTTTTTGCACCATAATGCTCTAATTATGAAATGGTAAATCTCTCCATTTTGGACTTTTTTCATTTTCTTTTTTTTTGGTCTTACATACCAATTTTAATGAATCCATACCAGAAGTTTACAGTAAAGGGGGAAATGCAAGGTGTAGGGAAAGAATAAGTTGGTTGGAAGACTTGCTAAATCACTTAGACAATTAGAATTTGAGCATTGATGTCAATTTATTTCAGAAGACATTCTGAAATTATTTATTACCTAATTTTCTTTTTTCTTAGGTATGATTATAATAAATTTCAGTTGAAAAATTCATGCCTTTGCTGCCAAGAAGAAAACTACGAGTTCAGAGAAATTGTTCTTGACTGTCCTGATGGCAATACAATACCTTACAGATACAGGCACATCACGACGTGTTCCTGCTTAGACATGTGCCAACAATCTATGACCTCAACAGTCAGTTAATAGTAAATAGCATTACCTTTCCAGTTGTAACAGACCAGGTATTTATTTTGTAAGTGAACAAAAATAATGACTTTAATAATGAGAATAACTAAACATTTTATGTCACTCAAAATGTGAGTTGCCATTATGAGTCATTTTGTTCTTTTATTGACTGGATCTGAAAAATAAATACAACTTTTCAAGCAATTAGGGAACATATGTATTTATTTGGTAGCAATGAGAATTCTAGAAGTCAAGGAGAAACTGAGTCATATCATGGCTCTCCAGTGTACTCACCTTCTACTCTTCATCTGGATGAGGCCATTTTCCTGTTTTGTTCCTTCTCTTCACAGCTAAACTTATGAAAATGTAAATTTTGTTCATCACCCCTTTCATTCTATGACAACTCCCTCTGCTGAGAACACCCATGGCCTTCTTATGATTTTTTTCTGTAGGATCTGATATCATTTTCACTCTTCCTTTCTTGAAACATTTTCCTTGCTGTTTCTGTGACATCATTTTAAATTAGTACTTCTACATTCTGTGGACACCTTCACTTTTTCCAGTCTTTTAAATCTCAGTTCTCCAAAGTTGTATCCTGTTCCTCTTCTCATTTTACTGAGGCTTCTTAGACAATTTCACTAACATAGGCAGATGTGTTTATATATGGAGGACCTCCAATCTATATCTCCAACCCCAAACTCTTCTTTGAATTACATTGATAGAACTACATTGATAGAACTCTGAATTTACATCTCTAACTGGACATTCTGTAGGTACCACAAATTAAGCAAGACCAAAACTAAATTAATGTCACTCCCCCAATCCACTCTTTTACTTGTATTTTGCATATTATTGAGGTAGTTAGCTAGAAGAAGTTGAGGTTCAATAATATCATGACTGTCATCTTCAGTACATTCTACACTTTGCTGCCTCACACTCATACCCTTCTTCCTATACGTATATTTCCAAATGTGTCTTGCACAACATTGTTTACATATGCAAAACATGCATAGTTACTAGCACTCTATTCCCTTCCCAAACCCAATTTATCATAATCCACTTCTGTACTACTCACCTTTTTATATGACTTGGATTATTGGTACATTTAACTATCATCAAACACTGTATGTCCAATGGTGGGTGAAGAAACTAGGTTTCTTGGTAACTAGGATCTTGGTAACTGCCAACAAAAGGTGAATAATAACTAAATACAGGTGGATATTACAGGTACTTTTAAATTTGGTCCCAAGGCCTTCGGCTTTCCTCCATGTCTTGTCACTGGTTCCAGGTTTTTCTTCCTCTCAGTCTATATCCGAGTTGGTCATTTGGCAAAATATTGCAAATTTGAGCCTTTAAAAATCCAAATGGATGAGGTTGTAAGAGTTGTTCCATACCTTTTACCTTAGAGAATATTAAACACAGAATCAACTATACACCTACATCTCAGCCTTTACTGCATGACAGTAACTCTATTCTCCTTTGGTAGTCAGAATTGATCATCCCAGACAATATAATGACAGAGATGGATTTTCTGCTTAGAAAGGCTGTTCTCGAGTCACAAAAGACACAAAATGGCTAGCAGGGACTTTGAACAAATGGGAGAGAATGTAAATCTTGATTTCTAGTTCATCTGTTATGTCACATAGTGCAATCAGCATATCAATCTCACAAGTTAGTATCCCTCAGCTGGTGTTAGAGAGGAGTTCTCAATAGGCCAGTCTTTAAGGTTTACCATCTATGAATAATAGGCAAGATAATTTCATTGATACTGTATGCACCTATTTCCTTTCCTTTTTTTCATTTTGAAACAAATTTTTTTCAGTTGAAAGGAGTGCTGTGCATCATTTCATGGTAGTGAATAAAATATTCAATAAGCTATGGATAGCAGTACTTCCTGAAGCATATTAAACACAAAAAGAAAATTCAAATCAACAATTGGTTATATTGGAGAAAAGAAGTACTGATCTCTTCCCAACTGAAAAGGATCAAAGTTGTCCACTTGTTACCAGGTGGCTGACTGGCACTCCATGATGAGGCCAAAAAAGAAGATCACTTTATTGTTGACATTGTGGTATTCATACTGGCTTTAGTGGTAGAAACTTAGGCTCTTGAGCCCATAGATCACCTCTTCCCTGCCACAATTTCTACCTTATTCATGAACCTCTTTGTTGAAGGAGGTCATCAAGAGTACGTGACGGCCAGTTGATCTGTGGATGTGCTGAGGCTGTTGGAGGCTCCTTACCCACTTCCCTGTCCTTTGAATGCGTGTTCTACTTACCTTCCCCTCACTAGCAGCTACCCCAAGGACATAGCCTTGAGATAGTGAGGTGTTACTGAGACCATCTGAATGGTATATGTGACTGAATTCAATTAAGGCCTCTATATAATCTTTTAAGATTCTGGCAGGTGGGTGCAGAGATCCACTTGTCTTGTGGTGCCCAAGACAAGTCTTGTAAGTAAGTTCCTTTGTTAATCAAAACCTACCACCTACCAATCTGTAGTGGTCTGCCTCTTCAGTCTTTCCTTGCCCTCTGTGTACAGGGGCCAATTTATAAACCAACACTCATTTAGCAACTACTGGCCAAGATGAGAAAGAAGACTTACTGACAACCATAAACTGTGATAACCATAGTTAACACATACTGTTTATTACCTGATTCTTGCATGAAAATTCTGGTAAGGAATCTCTGGTAAATATATGCTTACTTATGTTCAGACTTGGATCTATTCTGGTGACCCAAATGATTTCTCTAAATCTTCTTTGTGTCATCCTCCAATTTTGCTTCTTTTGAGTCCTTGGTTATTTCTATCAATAATCTGCTACTTCCCTGAAATCAGTGTAAATCCTTACTTTGAGCCAACCTTCTACTAAGCACAATAGCCAATGAGAAATATCCTTTCCAGTTGTCATCCATGCCATTGCTTGAGATAGACTATAATACCACATAGAGCTTACTTTTCATTGATACTGGGGTCATTTGGTAATCCAGCCTTGAGTGTTTTCATCCTGTGCCAACTGGTCATAAGCTAGTCCTCCCCTCCAAGCAATAGGCATAAATTCAGACAAAGGTGACAGCCAGATAAGTGGTATCATATTGTAGGTACTAAGAAACCATCTCATGGATCTGACTTTTGCCTTTGAGATCTGAATGGGTCATGGGGCACCCATCTTACATATATGACTTCTGCTGGGAATACCTAACTTCATAGCTATATAGACAAGAAAATGTCCAGTCCAGGATTAGGGGCTTTGGTCATGGTTACCTGTTATTGCTAGATACCAGTAAAAAGCTTGTATTTGTTGAAAATAGCATAGGTACTCCAGATACTGATGTGGCCTTGCTCCCAAAGCAATTGCTATGATTATATTAAAACCTGTCATTGGTTTCCCGAAGTTTTGTTCTTCTGCTAAAGATTCTTCTAGAACCATTAGATCAGCACAAGTTGTAATAGTTAAAATCAAGGCAGTTTTCACCAAAAACTTGATAACCCAAACAGCTGTTTATTTGGTCAAAGTCCCTCTAGAGTTAGAAGCTCTTAGGTCATCCAGTAAAAAGACTTAAGAAAGACATCCATATAGGTTTTATATTTCCAAAATCTAATGGGTCTATCTCCTAGTATAGGGGAACAATTTACAACAGCATGTCCTTCACTTTGGAAGTGATGGCCCACCATCTCTGTATTATTAGGAATTCAACTGATTACAGAAAACCCAAAATAAGTCACACAAATAAACAGAAGTTTCTCCCTCATGCACAAGACTGGGTATGTGATCTGGAACAGGTATGACTCACCTAGTATCTCCTATCTTGTTTCTCTGACATTCTCAACATGCATCTTTTATTTTCCATCTGTAGCTCATGATGGTTCCCTTCAGACCCTAGCATTTCAGCCTCATTCAAATCAGCAAAAAAAGGGGAATGGGAGAAGGGGAATGTATGTGCCTTCCTTTTAAAGGCAAGACCCAGAAGTTGTACATATACTTTTATTAATATACTATTTGTCAGAATTACAGAGCCACAACTGCCTATGGAGCCACAAATGATTCTAAAATGAAGGCCTATGGATTGTCTATAGCATAAGCATTCGGGATCTTTGCAAAAATATAGATTGATGAACTTCATCCAAGAGATTCCAATTCAGTAGATTAGAAAGCAGGTACTAAATTGGAATCAATATTTATATTGATCCAAACCAATATTTGGAAACAAAGTTCTGGAGCCCATATTGTTTCATTTGGTTACAGAAACATCTAGAAGAGCAGCTGCAATTCAGTCATCACCAAACTAAGCTTATTGTGAGGGATACTGTGAGGCACTGCCCAGATTCCCCTTCCAAAATAAAGGATTTATTTTCCCAGCTTTTGAGAGTGCTGCCAGAAGATTGCTCTCAGCTGTCTGTCTCCTTCAGGGATTGCCTCAGCTAAAGAAAGCCACAACCCTCAATGTCCTATCCCCTTTCTGGAGAAAAGAGGAGCATCCAATGACTGATGGACAGTAGAAAGGTTTGGCCCTCTCATCACAATTTGCATCATAAGAATGCCCTGAAAGGTTGACTGAGCCTTCCATTGAAGACACATAATGGCTTGACTTCTCCCTCCATCCAGTCTTGATTCCTTCCTTCTCTTCCACAGTTTTGGATTCCAAGAGCATTCCCTAATAAACCTACTCTTTGTTAATATCCATCTCAGAGTCTGATCCTAGGGAACTGATTCTGCATTGCTTAAGGAAATTTAGCATCATTCTCTAAGACGGATCAATTTTTTGTAACATTCAAGCCTGAGAATTGAATAGGGGAAGAATGCAGAAATGAGTCTACCTATGTCTCTCATTTTTTATGGTGGCCTTGAAATGAGCTAAACATATGAATCCTCCACCACTGCCTCTATCTCTCATTTTCTCCCCCTTATATAATAAAAAAGTTTCCTATACACCAATGAGATAATTTTAATGGCTTTAAAAGACAAATGCTCCTACCATAAAATTAATGAGGGGAAAGAAAGTTGATTATTAATACTC